CCTGCATCAGGGTATGCCATGGCCGGATGTTGAGATATTCACTAAGTATTGGCATGTTCACATCGCACGGAAACCACAATGCACGGAGCTCTCGGTGAAACTTTCGGTGAAATATGAAACATGGTGAAATGCAACGCTGAAGTCATCGCTTGAGTTTGGAGACAAGACTCCCAGCGTTCCCAGATCGGAGCCCGGGGTGTTCCAAATCGGAGCCCGGAGCTTGAGCCAAGTGTTTGAGCCGGGAGTGTGAGAGTCAGTTTTAGCAGAATACAGGGTAAGATTTTGAGCCAAGCGTGCGTAAGGCAGAATGAACGGATGTTCACGCCCAGCTTTGAGCCAAGAGTTTGAGCCTTTATATAGGGTTGGGGTTTCTGGGCGGCTTAGGGCTTTTAGGGTTGCTCTCTCGCTCTCTCTCGCTCTCTACAAAACATGTTGCCCAATTGTTATGTGGGCGGCGAGCTATCGGACATGGACTGATAAATTATTGCCCAAATGTTATGTGGGCGGCGGCGAGCTATCGGACATGGACTGATAAATTATTGCCCAAATGTTATGTGGGCGGCGAGCTATCTGACAGAATTGATAAAGCAAAATAAATGCTGCCAGCTGTTGCGGCGTTCTGTCTCACATGGACAGATCAAACTTAGAGATCAATGAGCATGTCCAAAGGAAACTTCCACATGTTTGCGAGGAGCAACAGAGGTCACCACGTGGCAACTCGAACTTGTCTTGTACATGACGGACTCACGCATAGTCCATGAATGAAAATGGCACCTTCAACTGCTGCCCGCCGGAATGGAAAGCCACAGAGCTACTTAAACGGCTCCGTGTCGCGACAACAACCAACATGATAATTCAGTTCGGCAGGGCTGCTGCAGCTGCAGGTGAAGCCCACGACAGGGTCCAGACATCGCGATTCGCGACGGGCGGGCGACGCTGCCCAAAGTGGCAACTGGACTCTGCAACGTCGTCAGGCCTTCTAGCGATAACAAGACATATCACAGCTATCGCCAGTGCCCGCTACATCACGTCATCACGAAGCCCTGTCTCACCCTTTGCGCCGCTCAGGCTTTCCCGAGCGACTGCTTGTTACTTGTAACAGTCAAGGACTGCCTGCATTTTGCTGGCATCCCGACCCGAGCGCTTCAGCAGGCCGGCTGCTGCCGCATAGTTTGACTTTGCGGCATCCGTCTTGATCAGCACACTCTTGCGGGCTCCGTAACACAACAAGCAACTCGAAACCTCTTCGCAGATGACCCATCCCTGCGGGACCCACAAGACATCACCGGCTCGCATCTCGATCATGCGACCCTTCAAGCGGGACCAGTTTGGACTTGATTGGTCCAATGACAAGAGGGCCTCGCTCATGGAGTCGCAGGTGACGTCGCCAAGCACATCGAGGACGTTGGAGAGCTCGAACGCGATGACACTGACTTGGCCCATGACGAGGACCCTGCACATCGCTGCTGCATTCGGTGCCAGCCAGCACCCGGCAAGCTTGGGGGCATAGCCGAAGTGCCAAACATTGGCCATGAAGTCCGTTCCCCCTGGCACGGCCTCGATGTCGAGCATCTTGTCGGAGGGAATGAACTTCGCGAACAAGGAGGATGTTTCCTCCTTTCCCTGCTTGGCAGCAATGATCGCCTGCGCACGCTGCTCGGCCTTGAAGCTTGCGCCCTTCTTGTAAAGTGAAGCGAACTCAGACAGCCGCATGGCAACCACGTCCAAGTTCTTCCAAGTCTCCACAGCACTGCTTGATCGAAGGACCCATGGCTCGTCAATGTGATCTCCGACGCTCTCTGGGGATGACAGCTCTGTCATCTGGCCCCACTTGTCGGCAGGAACCCTGAAGATCTCATGTCCGCCTTTCGAGCCGCTCTTCACTTTCTTTGCTGCCGCCTTGGCCAAAGCGGTAGCGGCCGAAGCAGCTTTCTTGTCTTCTTCCCGCTTCTTCTTTGCCTCGTCCTGCTGTGCCTTTCGCTTGAGCTGGTTCTGGAAGTTCCTGGCATCTGTGGCAACCTTCTGCAACCCCTTGGCAAACTGGTCAATCACAGCTGCGTGGTCCTTCATCTCGGTCGCGATGCGCTCCAGCAAATAGACGCAGGTGGTCTTCTCGAGGATAGCAAGGAACCAACCCAAGGCAGCACGTGTGAAGCAAGTCAGCTTGTTGTTCACAGGCTGAACAAGATCCTTGACCAGTTCGCACTTGACGCGGAAAGCATCCTGGGCAGCAGCAACAGCCTCGGGCAAGTCCGTGAGCTCCTCGGCCTTGCCCTCGCAAGCCGGGAGTTCCACCTCCCTCCTCCAAAGCTCCAACAAGGCCGTGCCGGCCTCCATAGCATTCCTGTAGGAAATCTTCACGGCATCCCCGCCGCCGCCGCCCATCTCGGCATGGGCCTCCTGGATCTTCGTGCCGACGGCGGTCATCAGGTTGTCGAAGCTTTGAATCTTCTCCTTGAACCTGTGCACGCTGGTGGCCTTGTGTGCCTCGAACGCCGGGCCTCTTGCCAACTTCTCCAGGCGCTTTCGCTTCTTCTCATCCTGGACGCACAATCAGGATAGCAAACCAGCCGAGTTTTCACGTGCAAAATTAGCCTGTTTACTATTTGTTGCGCAAAAACTTCGGGAGGGAGACGAGAGGGGAGGGGAGGATTAAGGGTTCCCGGTCCTCTGGACTTGGATTGTCCTTGCTTGCTGGATCATCGAGCTGCTTCCTTTTGGTGGGGGTCGCTAGATCAAGATCAGGAAAGTCGTCCTTCTCCGCCGCATTCACCACTCGGCCCTGCAGGAAGTTGTCGTCGGCCTGGTTGGCACTCTTGCCGGAATGCAAGCAGTGGTCCATCAAGACCTGTCTGTGGTCCTCGTCCATGTCCCGCTCCTGCATTCCAGCTTCCTCAAAGGCGAAGGCTCGCGACCGGTCGGTGTCATTGTGCGTGGCTTCAATGGTGGGAATCCACAGTCTCAAGGAACCGTTCAACCCCTCCATGTCCTTCTCAATGTCTTGCGACTTGGAGTACTCGTTCCATTTGGCTTTGGCGTCTGATGCCGACCATCCCATCTTCTGCTCGCAGCGTTTCAACCACTGTTTCCATTCGTACGGTTTGCAACCGTTGCGACGGCGGTTGCACTGCACGACCACATGGGTTCGTTTGAACTGTCCCCACTGAACTACGGTCTTCCTCGCATACTTGGCATGGGGCGGGTTGTCTCGCTCAAACTCACTCAACGCCTGGTCGGCAGATTCTGGGGTGCTCATGGCTTGCTGTACAGCGAATGTCTCGTTGCTCTTTTTGGCTTGGGTCCAAAGGTTGTCATACAAGCGGTTGTGGCGGCAGCACCATTTCTTTCCCACCAACTTATCGTCCTCACAAGACTTGACAAAGCATGCCTTGCCTGTGTCCGCTTTCTTCACACCTCTGGAGCCCGACTCCCTCTTGCGCTTTGAGGGAGGAGCTGAGGCAGGCGGCGGCCCCGGCGGCTTCGCAGGATCAGCATCGCCTCCAGAGCCAGCCCCTGGCTCTGACACCAAAGGCTCGTCGCCGAAGCCGCTCAACATGACACCGCAATGCTGCAGTGGCTGCTACAGCACACAAGCTTCACAAAAGACTTTTAAATAATGTAAATCCTAGTTCGAAGCCAACGGACGCATAGTGGACAGGCTGAGATATGAATCAAGCTCTGCTCTCATCTGATTGCACCGACTGTGACTGGCACTCCCACAGACCGTCACACATATCAGCAACACAGCATGCCCAGCTACTGCATGTTCCGCTTTTCCGTGCAACAGCAAACAAAATGCAGCAACACCTACGGCTCTATGGCACTCGCTGCGCACTGACTGAGCTCGCTATCCATCCATAAAATCCATGACATCCATTCCTTCTTCACACTCACCTTCATCATCATCGAGCATGCTTGTGCCACCTCGCTGAAGAAAATTTTTCTCGGCCTGGATGTTGAAACCCTGGCCTCTGTCGAGCTTGCAGCAGTGACAAAGAACGTACCACACCCAGGCTGCCATGGTTGGAAGATGCCACCCGTTGCCGAGAAACACCTTTTGATCTTTCGCGGGGAGCTTGCGCAAGAAAGGAGCAATTGCACATGTGGTCTCGCACTCAGTTGCAGAAGGATATAAGTTAAATCCGTGCCCCAACAACAGTTCCTGACAAGTCACGACCCTGTCAGGGGTCCATGCATGTATGGTGCCGTGGGTCAACATCGAGGGTAAAATAACCCCCGGTGTGCTCGCCCCCCGTCCCGGGGCCTGCTCCAAATCTGCAAACCACGTGGACGACCCTCTTGGCCGCTCCTCATCATACCCTTGCAATCGCACAAGCTGGCCCGGAGAATAGATTTGGTGTTTGGGCACAAGAACAGCACTCGAACTCGAACCAACATCTGCAGGAACACAGTGGCCACGCAACTTGGCCAAACGCCGCAGTTCCGCATGGACCTCTGAATCACTGGCCACCAGGAAGCAATCTGCGGTGGCTTCCATGGTGCATTTGAAGAAACTCTCAAAATGACGCTGAAGCTCATCTGGGTCAGTTGGACCCAGCCACAGCATGGAGCTACGGCTCACTCCAGCACTGAACACTCGAGTCCTCCGAACCGGCCAGCCCAACATCTCAGGGCACGCCCTGATGCTCAGAACTTCGTGCGTCTCGGCCAACGGCACTCGAAGTTTCTCCTCACAAAGGAAAAAAGAAGGAGAGAGAAAAAGAGAGAGAGAGAGAGAGTAGCAGGGTCTACAGTAGGGCCCAAAGTAAGTAGCCAAAATCCCATAACATGGACGTTATGAACCATGAGCCGGCTCCTAGTACCCAACTTAATAGAAAAATGCATTTTCGCCTTAGGTTGGGTCTTAAGAGGGGTTCAAATACCTGAAAACCCGCTTAAACGGACCTTGGCGGACCCTCATAATGGACGTTCGTGGACCCTCATATGAACGACCCTGCAGCAAGGCTGTCCTGTGCCGGGTATGTGCTTGTGCATTCGCTGAAGAAAAGGTCTTCAGGCCAATCGGACCTCTGAGATTCACGAAACCGATCGCACAACCACACCGCGTGCGGGCGCTCGCTTGGGTCGCTGAAGTATCGCATCTTCCCAGCTTTGGACCATCCCCGGCACGTTGTCCCGGCGAAGTTAAGCCGGAGTGTGCCCTTGGCACATTCAGGCTTGGTATACAACGGGCAGTCCTGTTCATGCATCACACACCTGCACGTGTCTGAGATGACCCAATCATGGTTAGTCATCAGCCAATCCCCCATGCTCTTGTAGGCTTGTGCTGCTGTGGCAAGATCACATTCGTCATCCGGCATCAATGCATCCAGGTGCCTCCTGGCACTTGGGTGCAATCGGTCGTTGATATCTTTCATGACACACATCCTGCCATCTTCGCAGACCTCGCTCAAGTAAGCCAGAGCCTGCATCTGAACACCGCCATTGTCGCACACTCTGGTGTGATGAAAACATACCTCATGACCTGGCTGCGGGAACATGAACTCATTCAGCGGCTTTTTCATCTGATGAAAAATCTCGTACTCACCTGACAGGCCGCTGTAGTCGGAAGTGACAACCACATGTCTTGCTAGCAGGGACTGCAGCCGTGCACGTCTATCTGAATCATGCCCGTCCCCACGTCGCATCAACTTGCTCAGCAGATGCTGGGGCCATGCATACAGCTCCTTCAAACTTGTTGGCCCAAGGCTCTGTGGCATTGGCATTGAATCTAACAGACTGTCTGCTGAAAGGTTCGATGCCTTCCTTTTGGCAGCCATGGCACACAAAACTGCTACAGTAGCTGCTAGCTCCGCTGATCACAGCATGCTCTGTTTTGGCCCCGTGCACAGAAGATTTCAGCTCCCTGTGTGCTGTGTCTGCTGTGTTGACGCACTCATGACTCATCGCTGATCACTTGGTTCCTAACAACTACTGCGAGTTGAGTGCGCGGGACAACAACAGGACAGAACAGCATACGAAACGAGCTTTCGTGGGGCCTGCCACCTATCCAGGTCCTTAACGAGGCTTTGCAGGCTGCAGCTGTGCGTCGATGCCCACGACGGCCCTCAGGCCCGAAAGCAGCCCAGAATTTCGAGCAGTTTCGAGCGTTTCGAGCGCCCAGCCCCACCTTCCAGCCGCCGGCCCAGGCCCCGCCCAGTTTCGAGCACCCCTAGTCTTAGCCACAAGAAGAGTTTCGAGCACCTGGGCCCGCCCCGGACCCAAACCCAGGCCCAGGCCCATCCACC